ATTCATCAGGTCATGTAAAAATTAAAGCAATTTGCTTTAAGGAATGGAGTATGTGGCCTCCTATCGTCACGGAGGCACGTGGAAAGGAGAGTTCCTTTGCTACAAAGGAACTGGAAATGCTTTTGCAGACTCCCTATTCCAAACAAGTCATTTTACAAACATCCCAAGATCAGATGTTAAGATATGCCAAACTGAGATACTCTGGTCAGTGCCCCCTAAAAAGGAACTTTGATGATGTTACCAATATGATTACCAGAAACCACTGAGCTTGCTGTTATTGATAGTTAACCACAGAATTAAACAGAACGGGACCTAACACTACCAGATAATTAGCACTAGGAAATGGTTCCTTTCCCACGCTGTCATTAAAGTCCACCATACATGGAAGGTATGAAGTTACATAAGAGTCAACTAACTCCCAGGACCTCCCACATCTTCCTAAGAGCTTGCTAACAGTAGTGAAATGCGTGTTATTTTCAACATCCAAGTCATGTTTAAGACACCAAATCTTAAAAACATACAATGTGAGAGTTTACCCCCTAACAGTTAGAATACAACTCACGGGTAAATATTTAGATCCTAAAATCATAACAAGTTTTCACTTCTGCCCTGGTCGGTGTGGCTCAGGAGAATGAAATGTTGTACGACCAACGATCATACACTGACGTTTCTCTAGGTCTCTCTAAAATCAACAGGCATGTCCTCTGCTGTGGATTTAAAGAATGACCTTACTAAGCAGACTGCAAAAACAAAACAGAAAGGCCTTTTGTAAATACCCAGGGATCTGGCATGCTTTCAAAATATTATTTTATTTATTCTCTTCCAAAAGCCTAAAATGCTTGGAGCCCTGACTTTCTCCCGACAGGGGTTTTTCTTTTCCCACTAGGGAAAGCCGGCTGTCAATGGTGGGACAGAGAAGAGAAGGTTAATAACCGGGACAGCAGAGGCTCTACCAGCAAGCCTGGCTTCCAGAACTACCAAGACCAGGAATCAGGATCTATGACTGTGGCTGTCCCACAGAGGGCTGACTTGATTACTTTGGAGAGGGCTTCTCTGGCTGGGCTCTGTGGGGATTTATGTTCAAGGGCATTCCTACATAGCGAGGAACAGCTCGGTAAAAAAGGAGAAAATGGAAATCCACGGAGAATGGCAAACGGTCACAACTAGTGATTTTTGGCACACCTGAACTTTCTGAATACATAAAACTGTGAAAAAATGTAAGGCTTTTTGACTTTTATTTCAACTTACTGGTTCTAGTATCAAAGGCCTTTTGGTTTTAAGATGTTTTTAGTCAATCCACACTTGATCTAACAAAAGATAATTAAAGTACCAACAGCCTTGAGTGAAGGCCACAATTTCTAACTACACAAAACATCAAGATTTTAAAGCCTTCCCAGGTTTCTCTCGAACCTAAATGTTTTAAATATTCAGTGTTCATCATCAGCTTCCCTACTCCACCCAACAATTTAGTCGAGTGATTTAGTCTGTAACTCTGTAACGGTAGGCCACTCCTCTGTAGTAGTGGTGAGTAATACTGTGCCCTGAATCTGGCAGTATTGGAACAGTCACTAGTTAATGCCAGGGGGAAAAAACAAACATGGGCCTCGAAGCAATAAATTAAGAATACTACCCTGGGTGGTGTGGGTCAGTGGGTTGAGTGCTGACCTATACACCAAATGGCCACCAGTTTGATTCCTAGTTGGAGCACATGCACAGGTTGCGGCAACCACACATTGGTGTTTCTCTCCCCCTCTTTCTCCCTCCCTTCCCCTTTCTCCAAATATAAACAAAATCTTTAAAAATATATTGGAAATAGAGTTGAACTGTGATTGATACTGAAATGTGTGCAGCCTTACCCAGGCCTTAACCATCTCATTTGAAAAACAAGAAGGTGCTGCTGTGCTATCCGCACAATGGAGCTCTATTTGGCCAAGAACGGAAAGGAAGTGCGTGCTGCCACAGGAAGGGACCCTGAAAACCAACTAAGCCAGACGTACATACTGTGCAACTCCATTTAAATGAAATGTCCAGAACAGGCAAACCCAGAGAAAAAGGAAGTTGACTACTGGTTGGCAGGGACTGGGGAGAGAAGGAAATGGGGAGTTAACAGGTATGGTGTTTCTCTCTGGGATGGGGAAAATGTTCTGGAATTACACAGTGGTGACAGTCACATAACTTAATGAATATGTAAGAACCTACTGAACTGTGCACATGTGAGTTACATCAATTTTTCTTAAAATGCAGATCTCTACCCACCCTTGAGAACTACAGTCCTTCGTTGCTGTTCCACTAAGAAGACACCAACCATAGGTATCACTGTTAACTGTGTGGAAATTAAAGGGAGAGGGCACACAACAATGACGACAACCACCACAACCCATAGAATCCAAATGTTCGGTTTCCACAAACTTACTAGGCTCCTACTCAACTTTTTATTTATTTACTTATTTATTTAAAGAGCTTGTTTACTTATTTTTAGAGAGAGGGGAAGGGAGGGAGAGGGAAAGAAACATTAATGTGTAGTTGCCTCTCGAGCACCCCCACTGGGGACCTGGCCTGCAACCCAGGCATGTGCCCTGACTGGGATTCAAACCACAACCCTTTTCTTCACAGACCCCTGCTCCGTCCACTGAGCTACACCAGCCAGGGCTCAACTTTCTATTTTTTAAACTAAGAGACACTAATAAGTAACTAGACCCTGAGAATATTACCCTACATGTAAAGTTACTTTTTAGAACTTCAGATAACTAACTCTGACTTGGGTAAAGATCACCTCGCAGCTCATGCCAACCCGAGAGAGAAACCACAGTGCAGTTAAGACCTTCAGGCCTCAGGTCAAATGAGAGCACATTGTCTACACACTCGCGAACTGAGCTTAACAAGCCACCTGCTCTGCTTTCTTCACCTGCCACCAGTTCTCTCTCTCAGGTCTGAAGATGAAACTGCAGTGTACTGTATTCAGAATTTGAACTTAGGACATTCATAGTTCATTACAAACTGTTTAGCTTCTCTTTGGTAATAATTCCAAACCACAAGAAGGAGGAAGGTGGACAGTTTACCACAAAACATGGCTCAAGAAATAGGCCGTATTATGTTATTACCATCAAATACTTCCAACCATCATTGTGCAGAGTACTCTGTACCACAACTAGTTCTAAAACAACAAACCCCAAAGTGTGCAATCAGTAAGCAGCCACTTGCACAGGGAAGTAGGACTTTCAAGTGCAGACTTCAGTGGATGACAAACCCACAGTCAGGGCGAGGACTGCCACCCTTGCACCTGGCTGGATGTGTATCACTTGGAGCCACGTTACAAAATTTTCAGCGTATGGAAAATAGGTTAGCAATTTGGTAAGATCAAATGCAGAACATGTAAAATGCCTGGTTTCTAGATCACTACACAGAATCAACAGGCCCTACAACAAGAAAAAGTAAATTTAACTCTATGTGATTAATGCTACCTCTACCTAATTTCGAATGGTATCCTACGTTCAGCAAACTCATCATCACCAAAACCTCACCTCTCCTCCCCTCTCTCATTCCTTTCCTATTAGGACAAAAACGTAGCTTTTAGTTACCATATAATCACTGGGCAACCATTCTAAGCTACCAAGATATACAGGAAATACCTTTTGATGCTCGCTAAATTCTCAAGTAGACAAATTTCGTTTGAACACGGAGCTCCTGCTACCCTCAAAGGCCTCTGAAAGGCAGAGCGGCCTCTGTTAGCACTTGCGATTGAGGTTTTGGCAGCAGCTCTGACCCCCTCGGCTTCGGCCTGAGCCACAGCACAGGTCCACAGAGCAGCTTCAGTTATCTTAACCTGGGGTTTCCAATAGATACAACCAGACCAGCTTCTCACAGTCCAGCCTTTTCACCGTCTATTTCATTCGTCCCTCTGAATTTTAAAAATCCCTTAGGTTAGCTACGGCAGGATTAATCTCAATCTATTTACTGTCCCAGGAACTTAACTAAAAAAATTATGACTAAGATCCGGATGTGAAAAAAAAACCCAACTTTTTGGTAGTTATAAATACTTCGTGTAAAAGATTTACAAATGCCTTAGGTCTTCTTTTCTAACCTTAATTCAAAGCAGTGTTAAGAATAAAAAGACGTTTTCTAGAATCCTTTCCACGGGGAAAATAAGGAGACAGCTTTCTATCAACCAAAAAGCACACGTAAAACCTTAATGTATTCGATTTTATTAACTGCTGGTTTAACCAACCAACCAACATATTTGCAAAGAGACAAATTCTTAAGAAAACAACTTCCGAAAACGTCAAAGGCTAAGAATTACTATCTACAAACACTCGCGGCCCCTCGCTACGACGCGCTGCAGGGAGCACAGGCCTGGCAGCGACGCGGAGCCCGCACGCGCCAGCCCTACGTGCCGCGCAAGTCCCGCCCCGCGAAGGCGAGCGCCGCGCGGGCGGGGTCTGGCCTGCGCGGTGCGTGGGAGCAAAGGGCCGGGCGCCCCCGCCCCCTTCGGCAGGCGCCTCCCGGGAGCAGTGGCTGGTCCCGGGAAGGGGCGGGGGCGCCGTAATGGTGAGAGACGCCCCCTAGAGGAAGACGGGGGAAAACAGCAGAGGAAGGCTCGGCCCGGCCCCAGCGCGAGGTCCGCACGCCCCACCAACGCCCTCCGCGCCCCTCGCCACCGAGCCTCGCAGGGAGCGGGCCGAAAGGGGGCCGCGGACCACGAGCGGAAGGGCCGTCCGTTGGCTCGAGCGTGCCCCGCCCCGCCCGCGCCGTGGGACCGCCCCGCCCGGGGTAAACTACGCCATTGCGGCCTAGCGGGCGGCGCCGCTCCTCCGCCGCCATCTTTTCGGGCCTCAACCACGGCCGCCTGCCACCCCCGCCGCGGCCCGCCCGCCATCTTTTAGGGCCGCCATACTTGCCTTGCGAAGAAGATGGCGGCGCCCATCACACACATAAAACATGGCTTCCCTTCAAAACAAAAACATCCCGGGGGCCGGCGCGGGTCGGCGCGAGCCGAGGCTCACCTGAGGACCACATGGTGACTGAGAACTCGCCCTCCAGGGTCTTGATCTGAACCTGCTTCTGCTCCCACTTCTTGTTGCCCGCGTCCGCGCCGCCCGCCGCCCCGGCCCCGCCGCCGAGGTAGCCCTTCTTGCCGCTTTTCTTGCCGCCGCCCTTCTTGACGCGGCCGCCGCCCGACGACGACGAGCTGCCGCCGCCGCTCTTGCCGGCCGCCGCCACGGTGACCAGCGTCTGCTCGATGTAGTCGTCGTCGCCGCCGGCCGGAGCGGGCACGGGGATGAGGATCTGGTCCTCGAAGCCGTCCTCGGCGCGCAGCCCGTCGGAGTCGTCGCCGCCCACCACCTCCTCGCGCGTCTGCACCAAGATAACCTCCTGGTGGTGGTGCACCTGGGTCGGGTCGTCGGTGACGAGCGGCTGCAGCGCGATCATGGGAGGGTGGTGGTGGTGGTGGTGGTGGTGGTGGTGGTGATGATGACCCGTGTGCCCGTGGCCGCCCCCGCCGCCGTGGTCACCGCCGCCGCCGTCCTCATCGTCGTCCTCCTCCTCCTCTTCCTCGCCCACTACCGTGGTCTCGATGGTCTCCACCGGAATGGTCTCCACTTCGATCTCGTGCAGCTCCACGATTTCAGCCGGCATCTCAGAGCCGTCTGTGGCGATGTAGAGGGTGTCGCCCGAGGCCATGACTGAGGGCTCCGCCGCCACGGCCGCGGCGGCCTCGGCTCCGGGGCTGCGGGCGAGGAGGCGGCCGGCCGTGGGGAAGGAAGGCAGAGGGAGGAAGGCGGCGGGCAGGCGGGGGGGGGGAGAGGGGGCGGGGGGAAGGGGCGGGCGCGGCGGCGGCGGCGGCGGCGGGCTTCCCCGCCTCCTCGCCTCGGTGCGCCCCGCGCTCGCTCGGCCGCTGCTAGCCCCGGCGCCCCGCCTCGCCGCGCCTTGGCCTCCCTCTCTAGCCGCGCCTCCTCCCGCCCTCCGGGCCGGCGCTCCGCTTCCCCCCTTTCTCCTGCGCCTCCGCCTCCTTCCACACAAATACCAACTCCTCACCCCGAGCCCAGATCTCGCTGCCGCCGCCGCCGCCGCCACACTCCACTCGAGCTCGGCCTCGCGAGACTTCCGCGCTTGCCCGCCCCGCCCCGCCTCCTTTCCACTCGCCCACTTGCCCTTTCGCTCCTCCTCCTCTGCCAATCGGTTTGCTGGTCCACCGCCTCGGCCCCGCCTGCTTTCCTGGGCTCCTCCCAGATTGGGGCAGGCGGGACGGCCCCCGAGAGCCCTGGCTGGCCTGTGGCGCGTGACGTCAGCGCGCCGCCGCCGCAGCTAGTCGTGCTACTCTGGTGCTACTCCCGCCCTCCGCGGTGCAACAGCATCAAAACCCGTCGCCCCGGGCCGCACACGGGATTGGGGCGTCGCCGCTGCAGCCACCGCCTCCGGAGCTGGTGAGCGGTGTGTGCGGCCCCGTGCACCCGGGGAGGACGGGTCGACCGAGCGCGAGGGTCGTGGTCGGGGGCTGAGTGGGGGAGCGCGCGGGGCGCCCCTGGCGCCCCAATAAAATCTGTTTTGATTAGAAATGCCTGAGCCTTCTTTTTCGCGTGAGATGGCGTTTGCTCTTGGCTCCAGAACCGGGCGATGGCGGCGGGGTGAGTGAGGAGGGCCGAGCGAACAAAGGCGGGCGGGCAGCCGAGGAAAATGTCCGCCGGCTGCCACGCTCCCAGCTCTCCCCGCTGGGCCCAGGGCGGAGCGCAGGGTGGCCGCGCGGGGCGAGCGGGTAGAAGGGGCGCGCGGAGCCCCCAGGTCCACCGTTGGGAGGGTGTCCGTTATCCTTTTGTGACCCTCGGAAACCTGAGACGGAGCCGTTAGTGCCTACTTCCCGCTAGATCTTAGAACTCGGGGTCTCGGCTGCTCGTCGTGTGGCTTCTTTTGGTTTTCTACAATTTCCTTCTGAGCTTCCCTTTCTTGGCCCGCCAGCCAACCATGGTTCCTTTTGAGTGCTGTCTTCACGTTTCTCACTTTCCTAGAGGCGCCTTGTACCCACCAGGCTTTGCCTTCTTTTCGTTGAAAATTACCCAGTTTTCCCGCCCTGTTCTTTATACTAGCAACAGCCTAGGTTTTTTTTCCTCATAAATTAGTGGCAAGTTAAACCTTCCCGAATAGCTAGTTATATGGCAGCGAGGTGGTTTTGCCTTTATTCTTCTGGCCGACCTGACAGTGGTTTAAAGTAACAGAAATAAAGCTTGCCTGATTTTTTAAGAAAGTGATGAAAAACAGAACTTGAGAAGGTGTGTCTTTGTTGTGAGCCGTTGGGCCAACTTAACGCCCCTGTGAACTTTGTGCTTGTTCTCCATGTTTACTCTTGTTTTTTGCATAGTGTTCTTGCAGTTGAGATCCCTGATTATGATGAACTGTAGTAAGTTAATCAAAGGAGCCCACTTGTTAAAACAAATAGATGTCTTTATAAGAGACCATATCAGAGAAATGTTTTCGTTTTGACTTTTCCGATGTTCGAGAAGTGGTTTGACCGGTCTAATTTGGTCCCTACTTATTTCTAAATGGTATTGGACTTGATTTTTGAGAGTATTAGATCATATTCTTTTTAAATTCGAGATTTAAAACCTGAGCAATCCCTTGGAGTGCTGCACCCACTCAGTTTGGCTAAGTCAGATCTGTTGAAATAAGTCTTTTCTAGCTTTGTAGCTTATATAGTCCTTTGCATAAATATTTCACACATGAAAGCCAGTTGTGGGGGAATTGTTACGTGGCTCAATTTCCCCAGTCTAGTTAATTGATGGGAAAATGTCTACGCAAAGTCGTAGAGACTTCCCCATAGATACTAGAGGAAAGGGGAAGTACCCAGTTAAGCAGCCTGGCTCCTGAGTCACAGGTCTGTAGCCTGCGAGATCAAGTGTGGAGAGAGCTGAAAAGGGTTTATCAGACTGTCAGGAGGGGTGGCAGATGTGAGAAAGCACCGAGATGCTCCAATATGCTCTCCTAGCACCTGCCCCTGAAGAGCTTTTAAAACTTGCCCTAGAGGTGGTGACCTGGTAGACTGCCCCCCCCACACACACACACCAGTGTTCTGTGGTAAGAGATTTTCCCACTCTTCAGCTGTGGAGTGTTGGGGTGGCCAGGAAGTCTGTCATACTTTTTCCGTAAAATAAAAGACATCTTTTTCATTTCCACCAACAGCTTTGTTGATTTGGATGTTTTGAGTGAGTACATTGGCTCTCTCCTGCTATTGGCTTTTAGCAGGCAGAGGCCAGGGGCGCTGCTCAACACCTTCCAATGCATAAGACAGCTCCATGGCAAAGAATTATTTGGCCAAAATGTTAGTAGTACCAAGAAACTTGGCAAATCACTTTTGACATGTTTGATCAGCGCATTCTCCATACACTGAACAAATCTTTTTTTGCGTTTCAGTTGTGTTTTTACCTTTTTTGAAATAATAAAGCACTATATGCCCAAAATATTGTGTATTTTTCCACCTTCAATATTAAAATGGCTACACAAAAATTCACTAATTTTGGCGTTTTTTTAAAAATGGATGCTTTGCCCCGGCTGGTGTAGCTCAGTGGATTGAGCGCGGGCCTGCGAACCAGACAATCGCGGTTCAATTCCCAGTCAGGGCACATACCTGGTTGTAGGCTGGTTCCCAGCCGGGGATGCACGAAACGCATCCATACATTGATGTTTCTCTCCCTCTCTCCTTCCCTTCCCCTCTAAAGATAAATAAAATCTTTAAAAAAAAAAACTTGCTGAAAAAAAATGGATGCTGATATGAAAGCTGTCACAATATAATCTAACAAAATTGTTTCAAATGAAGTTAAAGACAACTAAGCACTAATAGAGCCATACAGGAAAAAAACAAAACTTTTTGGCCAAGCCAATAGCTTCTAACTAGACATGTAAAGACACTGCTGTATCAGCTCTGGCCTGCTTGTACTTACTGCTAAAAGTGAAAATCAGTCGAAAAGAACAGGTTAAATTGCAATTTCAGAGCCATGGGGCTTCTAGAGTAGGGACAATCTCACTACTGTTTCTGTTCTGTTTGGGCAGAATAAATTGGGCCAGTGAGCATTCCCTTAAACTTCTGGCGTCCTTTTGTTTGTTCAGCAAGACAAATGATTTAACACCTCTTAATCTGGCCTTTCTCTTACACCAGTGTTTGGGTGATTTTACTCTTCCCACTTGCAAAGACCATAGCTGTGTCCATCTACAGCTCAAAGCTTGTCCATGGAACAGTTGTTTGCTTTTTGGTTGATCACAAGGTGAAGTAGAAGGTGCAGACACGGTGGTTCTGTGTGATAGTGCTTGACCTTCTCAGCTGACTCGAAAGCTCCAGCTTCATACAGAGCTTCCAGTCTACGGTGGAAATGCATGTCAGCAACTACAGGAGAAAGAAGAATGTCGTAAGAATCGTAAGAGCTGTACAAAGCTTTCTAGACTCTCCAAGAAGTCAGAGCTCGCAAATGGCTGGGAGATGTGGACTTACGTAGTCATGACTCTTGACGTCTCCTCACCTCATTTCCCCATGATTCCCTTCCTGAACCCTCCATTGAGTGCTCTGGCTGGCTTGTGAGAGCCCAGGGTTCAGGAAGGGACACCTGTGCAGTAGGTGAAGGGACAGGGTGGGCAGGACAATAAAGTATGTAGTTTTCAAATGACCAGTAGCTCTCTTTCCCTGCCTTTTTGAGGGAGTATCTCATTTAGTGATTATTGGGAGGCTAACTGAATTCTAATTCTACCAGTTCTGTTTCTAGCAGATTGGGAAGGATTCAAGCAACGAACTCATGTTAAAGAATTTCCCTTACCACAGACTAATTTAGCTGCCTTGTGAAATAGCCTTTTTGCTAGTTCTAAGGTCTAGTTCTTTTGAAGTTGCTTTAGGTGAGCCGCTGCTGCTCCGAATCAGTTACAGGATGGGGAACAGCAGGCTTGGGCGGTGCCAGACAGGAGCTACTCAGGCCACTGCGGTCCGCAGCTGGCGCCCGCGCTTCTGGCCTTTACTGGGCTGTAAAGCCTCTGTTCCACTTCAAGTCCACACTGAACCTCCAGTAAAATATTTGGAAAAGTCAGGCTGAAAATTCATGTTTCTGAATCTCATTGGGTTGCCCCTGGCTTGTACTACAAGTTGCATGGAAAACTACAGGTGTGTGCAGTTTTCTTAATCATTTAAACTACAATTATTCTTGCTAATTGTGGAATCTGTGAAATAGGAGTTTAATAAAGGGACAGCCGCCCCCCAAATCAACGCATATATTAGGTCTGGAGCTAAATTATGGTGAAAAGGCCTTACTGTGTGTGTCTTTTAAGCCCATCTTTTATGCAGCATTTTGCCTTTTACTTTTAGAAGGTCTTAGTCATGCCCTGGCTGGTGTGACTCAGTGGATTGAGCACCAGCCTGCAAACCAAAGTGTCACCAGTTCCACTCCGTCAGGGCACACGCCTGGGCTGCCAGCCAGGTGATGGGTGGGGCAGGCTCAAGAGGCAACCACGCACTGATGCTTCTCTCCCTCTGTCTCCCTCCCTTCCCCCCCCTCAAATAAATAAATAAATAAAATCTTTTTAAAAAAAGGTCTTAGTCAAAGTCCTTTTCTGAGGCTGAGTGGCTTATGACAATAAATGAATCTGGTTATTGCCCATAGATCTGAGGTGACTTGAAATCTTTAATAAGTGAAGAACCCCAAAAAGGGTTTCTGTCGTGAGTGGCGCACGTAGGGCAGCTTGGTGGCTCCACGTGTGGGATCGACATCAGGAGATTTCGGGAGCATAACTTGGTGTCTGGGCAGCTGGTGGTCATGGGGCCTGGCACCTGGGAAAACAGTAGACAAGCCTCGTTTTTTCTCTACTTTGCGGGTAGAATGCGGCTGCAAAGGAGCTGCTTCAGCTGACTTGCGTGGCACTTGCTCCTGCCACTGCCCCTCCGGACGAATGCGGCACAGGTGCTCTAGCAGGGGGAGCAGCACACTCCCCTCGGGTCCATGGTCGCTCCCACAGCACACTTCTGCTGGGTGAGAAACACGGCATCATCTTCCTCGTGTGCTACTGGGCGTGGGCTGGGTAAGTGTGGAGGCGTGGGAAGGGCTAGTGTGGACTGGGGACTTCCTTTGTCCTCTTGAGGGAGTGGGCAGGATAGGGGCTCTCTGTTCATTAAGAAGGTGGAAACTAGGGCATTAGGTACGCCCAGCTGTCCCCTCCCTGCTTGCAAGCTCCTGCTCTGTGGCCCAGAGCACAGCTGAGGGCAGGCGAACACCTGTCCTCACCGAGCCTGCAGTGCGGAGGGGAGGTGGGCCGAAGGCTCCGCAGGAAGGAAGCCCAGCAGGAAGGAAGCCCAGCTCGGTGGGGGAGAAGCCCTCCAGAGGGGCAAGCCAACCGCCCAGTGCTGCCGACCCAGGCCTTGGCTTTGTTGTGTTAATTTCTCTTTGAAAAGGGAGTAGGTAAAATAAACCAGCTGATAAATTTGTAAATTTACCAAGTCCATAGCACTAGGTACAAAAAGGCTATTTTTAGCCTTGGAAATAAGTCACCAAATTAGTCCATCGAAGCTGCTGTTGAGGGTTTCTAACCTTGTGTCCCACTCCCCTGCCCCCCATTTTATGTGAACCCAGTTCAGCGTTCCCACCTGAACAGGGGGATTAGCCGTGGGGATTGTTTTGGAGTTTCAGGCCTTGGAAGGTAGGACAGCTGTGGGGCTGACCAGTGGGAAGGACAGACTGGAGCCTTGGAAACTTACGTTCAGGTCCTGGGTGTGCCGTTTATCACTCAGGTGACATCTGCAAAGTCCTGACACTGCTGACCTCTTCACTGTCTTGGCTCTCCCTCAGGCGGAGGGACACCAGTGTGCAGGGGTCGTGGGCATCAGCAGAAATGGCAGGTGAGATGCCCACTTGGGCGGGAAAAGTGCCCCTCCTCACTGTTCCTGCTCCTTGCTGGGTGAACCGGCCCTGTCTACACGCACCTCCATGTGGTGCTGCGCCTTGCACCAGGCACTGCGGGCTGTGGGCCTACTGCGGACCCACGGGGCCCAGCACTCACGCGGCAAGAGATTTGTCCTAGAGGGGAGGGGGATATAAGGGGACTGAAAGATAATGTGAAAAAAATACAATAAAGATTTAAAAAGAGAGAGATTTGTCATCAGCGATAGGTTTTTAATCTCTGAGCTAGGCGGATTTTTGTCTATTAAAAGTGTAGTAAGTAGTCCTAGCTGGTGTGGCTCAGGGAGATGGGGTGTCCCAAAAACTGAAAGGTTACGGGTTGCAGGCCAGGTCCCTGGTTGGGGGCGTGTGGGGGACAACTGATCAGTGTTTCTCTGGCACATTGATGTTTTTCCCCCTTGCTTTGTCCCTCCCTTCCCCTCTCAAATAAATAAGTGAAGAAGTAAATTAACCTGCTTTTGTGTCATTCAGAACTCCATTTCACAATGGTGGAGCTCCTTTTGGGAGAGTGTCCGGCTCTGCAGTCCAGCTGTTGGTGTCTTCCTGGTCTCTGTTCCCCTTGTGACACAGGTGCTTTGGCTGGAGAGGGTGAACCCAAGACAACCTGGCAGGGTCGTCGTGGTGGGGTCAGCCGCCACCCCGGGAAACAGCAGCCCCTCCTCAGTGCACTCCAGCGAACCCCGCCCCAGCCTCCTGGGCACTCTCTACAGCACAGTTCTTCCTTCCCCCGGGTCGCAGCCTGTTGTATGTGCGGGGTTGGAAGGATGGGGTGGGCAGTGCGGTAAGCTGCCACCCTGCACTGCCCAAGGAGTGGACGAGCGTCTGGTCCGAGCGGCCAGAGTGCAGCCTCGCACGACCTGCACACCCGCCCCTGACCTGCGCTGGCGCGTCCTAAAGGGTGCTCACCCTGGGCGGCCACAGGCCCGCGCCTCCCCACCAGCTCAGCTCCTGCAGCCCTGGAAGGTCGGGCACTTCATCTGCAGGCTTCCTCCCAAACCTAAGCCAGACTCGACTCTCGGTGGTGGGCTGGGGTCGGCACAGACCCTCTACGCGTTACCCTGTCGACCCCAGTTACCTTCGTTTCCACCTCCGCAGCTGCTGGGTCCTCGCCGTGCCCACGAACAGCACCGTGTCTGGAACTCCAACTCCCAGCCTCCCACGCCGTCCACGCTCACACCTGCTGTGCCGCAGACCTCTCTGATCCTCTGTCCCTTCCAAACTGGGACACCGCGGTGGGTCACAGCATCTTCAGCTTCCCGCTCTGCTTACGTCTGACGAAGTTTCACCCTTGGATCAACCCGCTTCTGTCTGTACCTGTGAAATACGGGGTCTACTGGAGGAAACTCCTCTGGAGTATGGAGATTTTTCTGGTCTACAGCATCAGCTGAGTATATGGTGTCACTGGACAACCCTTTTTACTTGTCCTGACTCAACCCCCTGCACTATTTTGCTCAGCAAATTCTGAGTCACTTCCCTCAAAGTCCTTAAGAAATCCTCTCTGTCCGTCTCCCATACCCCTATGGTGGCCTAATTCCCAGGCCTCCTACTTAACGAAAATTGGGGGGACCAGAACTTATTTCCTGCCCTGGCTGGTGTAGCTCAGTGGATTGAGTGCTGGCCTGCAACCCAAAGGGTCACTGGTTCGATTCCCAGTTAGGGCACATGCCTGGGTTGGGGCAGGCCAGGTCCCCAGCAGGGAGTGTGCAAGAGGTTACTACACATTGATGTTTCCCTCTCTTTCTCCCTCCTGTCCCCTCTCTAAAAATAAATTTAAAAAAAAATTTTAATCAATGTAATTTGACATTAACATACAAAAAAACATTTCCTCGTACTGCAGCTGGCCCTTTGTGCGGTCCCCCCTACACACTAACACGTTCCCCGCGTTTGCGGTGCTGCCCCTGTCTGAGCCGTGTCCTCTGCCTGTCCTCTTGGACCACCTCCCGTTCCTGGTGTCCCTGCACGTGGCTTGCCCCCCCACACACACACCTGTCAGTTTCCGTGGTTCCCAGCTCCTTTGAGTCTCCTAGTCTTTAAACACAAGGTTCTCGCGACCCTGCCCCACCCCCGCCGTTGCCCTATCCCCTTTTAGCTAAGCCTCCTGAGACCACGTCTGTCGCAAGAGTCTGTCCCTCGCCTGCCGGTCCCGACACCGGGCACCGTGTCCCCCGCAGTCCTCCAGACACTCCGCCCCTACCTAGTGTTGCGCCTAAACAGGTCCAGGACTCACCTTGTCTCCCACTCAGCACGGTCTGCCTCTGCGCCTGGGACTCCCACCCTGACGGTCTCGGCCACTCCCCTTTTTCTTCGCCTTCTTCCTTCCGACTCGGCTCCTCTCGCTGCTCTGCCGCGCTGCCTGACCCGCTCTTGGGGATTAACAGCCACCTCCGTGCTGACGGCGCTGAGCTTCTGTTAGGACTCTCCCCAGAGCTCTGAACCCACGCCCTGTGGGGGCCCCACGGGCAGCGCACTCCCTGGGTCCCCTGACCGGCCCTCCTCGCCCTTCCCTCTCCCTCCGCCACAGGTGTCTCCTCTCATCCCCGCGTCCCCGCTGGGCAGCCTCCGAATCCCAAAGCATTTGCCTCCTAAACGGTTTTGAAGCCGCCTGCCCTGGAGCAGGCCCCCGCTCGCACCTACGCCTCCGCCAGCCATCTCCCCGGCCTGCCCACGTCCTCCCTCCCCAAGAACCCCCTGAGGTTTTTCTGGCATGCAGATGAGGCCACGTCACCCCCAGGTCCAGGCTGCAGGGGGATCCCGGGGCCTCAGGGTCACCCAGCCCTCGGCAGGGCCCTCGGTGGCCTCCTGGCTTCACCATCTGCCCGGCCCCCTCCAGCTGTGTTCATGCGCACGGTGGCGTCCGCACCTTTGTTTCCAGACTGTTCTCTCTCCGCCTCCCCACTCCTCAACTCCACTCCTTCCGAAACAGCTCGGACCACTCCTCCTCCAGCGGGCACTCCCGCAGCGTTCTGCCCGGCTGCGGTCGTCCTGACGTTACAGCGAAAGGGCTGGTGAATGTGCCTGCTTTCCCACGAAGGGACAGCTCCTCCGCGGGCAGGGGCCGGATCTCGTTCGCCTCCTGTTCCCGGAGGAAGGCAGGGCGGGCCCCGAGAGCGTCGGTGGCAACGCCTGGTGAGGCCACTGCCCGTGTCCTCTGCTACCCCCACTGCTGCCAGCGGAGCTCGGCCCGAGCGGTGGCTGGGCGGTAAGGAGATGTAGCAGAGCAGAAAAAGCGGGTTTCGACACCAGGCAGACCTGGATTTCAATATTTGCTTCACCTTTCACTAGCTGAGTGATCTCACACGCGTCTCTAAACCTGTCCGGGCCACTTTATCTGTACAATAGGACTCTTACTGTGTAAGGTTGTTGTAAAGTTTGAGTGAAATAATACACACAAACCCGGCCTGTAGTAGGTGCTAAATAAACGTCCTCATCCGTTGCTGTTTTCCTCTCCCTCCTGCTCTGTCCTGACTTCTGGCCTCAAAGGAGCTTCGTGTTTGGAGGCTGTGCCCATTCCTGCCTTGGCCCACACTCCCTGATTTCATTAAGGAAGCCTTACCCATACCACTCAGAGTGCCCCCCACCCCACCCCCAGAGAACACTTTCCTGGTCTCCGGTGTCCCCTGCAGCAAGTAACAGCCCTTACGACTCTGCCAGCTGTCTTTTCTTTACTGGATAGTTCCTAGGTGGGAAGCTTCTGGAAGGCAGCCGGCTCCTTCCTCCTTTTTGTGGCTCTCCATGCTTCTGCGCACCCAGAGCTGGGAAACGCTGGCTGTTAAGTAAATGCTGGTGCACTTTGATGGGGCGTAGGGAGGGCTCTTCACTGGGCCGAGCACTGCCAGGGGGCTGAGCTTGCTTGTCCTTCAGAGTTGCCTTTTTCTCTGTAA